AAAATAAAATCGTTGATTTCTTACGTTCTAAATAAAAGATAGAATAATGGATTAGTCAATATATTAATATCAAATAAAATTAAAACAATAATGTAAAATAAAATCGTTTCTTTCTTACCATCTAATTAAAAGATAAAATAATGGATTAACAAATAAATTAATATCAAAAGAATTAAATGTAAATGTAAAATAAAAATTTTTGATCTCTTACAACCTAAAAAAAGGATAGAATAATGAATTAGTTAAATAAATAAATATCAAATAAGATTAAAATAAAAATGTAAAATAAAATCGTTGATTTCTTACGTTCTAAATAAAAGATAGAATAATGGATTAGTCAATATATTAATATCAAATAAAATTAAAACAATAATGTAAAATAAAATCGTTTCTTTCTTACCATCTAATTAAAAGATAAAATAATGGATTAACAAATAAATTAATATCAAAAGAATTAAATGTAAATGTAAAATAAAAATTTTTGATCTCTTACAACCTAAAAAAAGGATAGAATAATGAATTAGTTAAATAAATAAATATCAAATAAGATTAAAATAAAAATGTAAAATAAAATCGTTGATTTCTTACTCCCTAAATAAAGGATAAAATAATAAATTAGTTAAATAATTAATATCAATTAAAATTCATATGAATTTCAAATTAAAATCGCTTGTCACTTACGTTTAAGATAGAATCTAATCAAAAATTGAAATAAGTATTTAATTTTTATTAAATAAAATAATAATTTTATTATAATTTTTACCGTCTTTTTTCAAATTTTTGGATTAATTTAGCCTCCATTTGATTATTATTATTATTATTATTATTATATAAAAGAAATTAGTATAAAGAACTTATGGAAATAGGAATTTCTCATACATTTTGTTCAAATTCAAATTGTGGTTTTAAACACTATCTTTAATATTAATTACCTCACGGAATAATTCTTTTATTGTCTTAGCTGACTTCAATGCAACTGTCTTATCATTCCAAACACCTTTGTATACTTCACCAAAACCTCCCCTGCCAATTTTTTCAATGTTAGTAATCTTTTCGAAAGGTATTTTCTCAATTCCAGATGTCGATTGAATAAACTCCTCGATTTCATTTTTTGATTCTACATTCATTTCTGTTTTATTGTCTGCCATATATTGATATGTTTGAACAATGCTTCTTTTATATAAGGCTCTAACTGTTTGGGGCACATGTATGAGCAACTAATTAAGTTAGTAAATTACTTAATTTGTTCAACTATATATATGTACCTTGCCCAATCTTTCCTTAAACATGATCAAAGAACAAATGATTGACAGTGCATGATCCATCTCTGGACAATACTGAATCTTCCCTTTTTATTAAAAAGGTGATGGCACATGTATATCGATATTAATCATGTATCATTTATTTTCATAACGATAGATAAAAAATACTGTGTTTTTCGATGTTACATGTAATAATAATTGACATCGAGAATACTGCAACTACATGTACATGGACCTGACATCGATATCGTCACTGTAGTGAGTCCATAATTTTTCTCCATAGTTACACCGTATTTTGCTGGATATAAGTAATATCCCGTATTGGTTCTTTACCCTATTTTTTTGAACCTTAAAAAATAATGCTAAACTTTGATCAGCTGCTTCGTTGAAAATTAATTTTAATTGGTCATCGAATGTGAAGTATGCACATGTACAATGATAGAATGTGTGTTTTTATTGTGAAAGGTAAAAATCAATACGGAGATTTTCTTATATTTCGCAAAATATTTCTATAATTTTTTGTACTAATGTCCATCACCGTTTCGTAATTTTATCTATGTCTCTTATTAATTTTTGTTTCACGTATCTTTCGATTTTCAATTAATTTCACAAGAAACATCTTTTGTTAATGTTTATTATATGTTTCTTGAATATTTCTTTATTATTATCGTTTGTATTGTCTTCGAACTATCGTTTAAGGAACGATAGCAATAGATAGCAGCATTAAATTGAATTAATATCGATCTATTTGCATAAAAAGTAATAAAAAAATAACTTACATTTGTATGTGTCCGCGCTAGTGTTGTTCATATTAAGTTTTTTGACACATCTGTTATTCCTAATTTCTAACAATAGAAAAGAGCCATTTGCCATTTATTCGCGTAAATTATTCATTTGATCGGTTTGGTTAAATTAGTAAATACTTAACAAAAGAAAAATTAGTTTTATAAAAAAATACATATTTAAATATTTAACTTTTAATTTTATTTTATATCATATCATGATAAATTTGTTGTATTCTCTTTTGACCAATTATTTTACAATTATATTAACGTTAAAGAGACTCCTATGAGCACAAAACATTAAATAAAAAGCTATTTTCAATCTTTCTCAGTATGGCGCATAATATCTAAATTCATCAAATGTTTATAAATATAGCTAACCTTGTATTCATGGATTAAATTTATTTCTTAATAAGAAGTTTATAAAACATAATCATTTTTAGTTTTTTATGTCTTATCTTTGTTCTTCATATCATAAAACATATATTTGCAAATTTCATGTAATTATATTCATTCTTTATCAAATAATGATAATTGTTATGCAAATTTAAACTTTCGGATCTTCATGACGTCAACTGTATGTTCTTATATTATCACCAGGGTGAGCAATGACCTATATGACACATCATAAATCATATGGTCATAAGATTTCCATAACTTTCTGTAGATCATGTACAATGTACCAAAATTTCCGAGCATCACACATAAACAATATCGCTTCTAATTAGTGTCTAAAATTGATTTGCGAAGCAGTTTTTAAATTTTCACAATGAAGCAATAAGATTATATTGTCCTTGCGCATCTCCATTTTCCGCCAATCGACAATTGATACATGTACATTTTATAACTGGCAAAGCAAATTTCCTTATAATTATTTTAGTTATATCGCTTTTTATATTATTCTTTAATTATATCCCTATCCCCGCTTATATCTCCAAACGGCAAAATATTAAAAATCCCAAAGAATATAATCACGAAAGTTCATAAGCCACATACTAAATTCCGAAAAAACGGCATCTCAAATCCTGAATGTTCGAAATTCCGAATGCATGAAAACCAGAAAAACCAGAAAACTGGTATACCACGCATTTGGTGCATTCTGGATGTCATTCATTCGGGAATTAGATCTTTCATGATGCTGTTCTTTTGGAATTTCGTTTTTGGTCTTATGAACATTCAGGTTTGTAATCTTCGGGATTCCCATCCAAAACATGTGAATTATTAAATCAACTTCAATTTAATGCATATTGGCAATGTATTTGATGTCGATTCCGAGAATAATTCTGCATCAATTTCACGAATATTCGACGTCGAATTCGCGAAGGTTTCGGCAGAATTTGTTAGTCGGCATTACAATCAAATTCTGGGTCTTATTATCACTAGCCAGGTAATATAAAATTAATTAAAGATCGCGTGACATTAAACAATTATATCCCCAGCCCGGTTATATCTCCAAAATTCATTGTACTAAAGGGGAATATACTGTACAATCATGAGTATTATGAACTAAACGTTCATACAGTGTATTCGCGAAATAATGAGCATGATCTCAAGTCAATCAAGTTTCATTTATATCAAGGTTAGAGCATACTTTGTTCATATTTAGGAACCGCCACCTCTTTGAATTAGTCACTTTCATCCTCACCTCCTTTATCTGATTGACTAGGATTTATCGTTTCATCAATATCTTTTTTTGCATGGCGACAAAGATTCAACATCAACAATCTCAACAAAATTTTACTGCCATCAGAATGTAGCACAATCACTTTTTTATCAACGTTGATGTTTTTTATTTCGCATTTTTCTTTAAATACCGCATGTATAGAAGCAACCCTTTTTTATTCAATTAAATGTCGCATATCGATGTACGAGTAAGGCTGATTATGAATCATGGACACAGGTATTATTGATTGAGATAAGAGTTGAGTTGATAAATACTTTTCGCTATTTTATCAGACTCAGTCCAAAGTTGTCCAATATTTTGACACATGTAGCAACTTGAAACGCGGAATTTTGAAAATTATGCGTTCATCAAGTGAAATACTAAGAGATATATAAAGGAAAATTTGAATACCAATTAAAGATCTTTAAGATTACCTATATTAAAAATTAACGAAGGCACTAGATTAAAATTAACGATTCGCTATATAAAAAAACACTGGAATCAGATAATGATGCTTCAAATCACAGAATGCGGTTTATTTGATATGAAAATATAAAAAATATTGAATACATGGTCTATCAATAAAGCGGGTTTAATATTATTATTATTATCATAGACTGTAGTTTTTATCACGTCATATACACGAGGTTTACACGTCATATCCCTTTGGTATGTGGCCCCATAATCGTAGAGAAGTAATAATAATATCTCTGATCCATCATAGTGCTATAAAGTTTGTTTTCTTGTTCCCTATCTTTTTTCTTGTCTAGTTAATAATGCTATCATTTTCTTTATAATTAAGATAAATATAAAAATTATATAATAAGAAAATAATGAAATAATATGGAAATGTATTGGTATTATATTGAATCAAATTATTGTTTATGAATGGGAATTTAATAATAAGGGTCGATAGATAATAAGGTAACGCTTGCCTGATATAAAAGATTATTTTGCTTCCATAAATATTAAAATAATAAAACAAAAAATCGGAAGCGTTCGAGTATGGATTTAATATTTTTAAATCCTAACAGGCACGATATTAGCAAATAAGTTAAATAATATATATATATATGATGTTTACACTTATCATTATATGTACCTTTGGCATTTTATTTGACAGCAGTCGAAACAACAATTTTTGCAATTTTTACTTTAAATATGCATGTATCTGGATTATTCATCGAATGAGCCAATTCACAGAGATCATTAGGATTGAGAAGAATTATTGTTACTTTTTTGCTTGTTTGAGACTTCATCCGAGACTCTAATAAAGAGTATACAAAGGTTTCAAATTTTCAAATTGTATTATTCAGAAATCTGATAGTTACAAGCATAAATAAATAATAAATTATCTTGACTGCGACTTTAACTTTTGGAAGAGCCTATCGCCCCAATTTTTGATTTTGCTCTAAATTTGTTTTGGTTTAAGACTCTCAAGAAATTGTTCCATTTCCTCATGTCCTCATGCTGAACGTTATAACGCTGTTGCTAATCGTTACACTTTGCTCATGGGGAGGAGTTGATGTAGATTGATCATCTTCATGAGTAAAGACTAATTTTTTTTTTTTTTTTTTCCCCAAAAAGGGAGGGTGAAGCAAGAACCCGTTTATTGAATAAATGCGTGATATAGAATTAAGATACAAGTGATTTACATAGTAGGTCTATTTGTTTGGTAAATTTATTATTTTGGGAGCTATCTAGGTGAATTTTAGCATCTCTGAGGAGAATATACGGAGCTGCTTTTATGATTTGAGTTTCAGACTCTTCGATACTGAGATTAAGTCTAGCAGTAGCCCACCAAACGTAATCAATAAGCCAGGAGGAGAGCCAGAGAGTAGCAAAAGAGAAGTCAATAGGATGTTGGTTTAGGATATGGATAAAGGTGACGCGTCCGTCAAGATGACGTACAATTTCTTGTATAATCATCTTGGTGAACGAGCAATCTTGAAGAAAGTGTTGGTGCGTTTGAGGAGACGTAGGGCACTACCGACAGAAGATAGAGTCAATAGAGGAAGACCAGGAGACCCGCTCCTTCAGGGGTAGTGTGCTACGATGCCATCTCCACACGTTCACGTGAGTCTGTGGAGGAAGGTTAATTATGCCCAGGTTTTTCCATAACACATTTTTGCTTTCCGGCCACACTTTTTTGAGATATATTTCTTTTTTTAACTTGGTAATGATGAGTGAGGTAGAGGAAGTAAGGAAATTTGGTCAACCTGCCAGAAACCAATTTTTTACAAAGGGTTGGTAGGCTGTTGACCAGTCTTTCTTTTTGTATTGAAGACGGATTTTGTTGAAGTTGCTTTGAAAAGAGCTGATCATGGAAAGTTGGTGTTTGGTCCAATTTTCTTTGGCGTGAAAAAGTTTGGCTGTTGTCATGGCTGACCAAGCTTTAATAGCAGACTTGATGTTAGGAAGATTTCAACCACCTTTGTTTTTTGGAAGTTGAATAATAGTAGAAGAGGGGAGGGATTTAGAATCACCTCTGGCCCATCTGTTTAATAAAGATTGTATAGTATCTACTTGTCACATTAAGGGAGGAAAAATGTAGGATGTGTACCAGATTTTGGAAGCCAGTAGAGAGCCTG